CGACGGACCAGTGCAGGGGCGGGGGGCGGGCGCCGCGCCGCGGGAGATGAGGCGCGCGGCAGTAAATACAGAGCGCGCTGGCAGCGGAGGCGGCCTGGGCCTCCCGCGGGACGCGCGTCCGCCCAGCGCGGGAATAAAAGTGCGGCGGCGGCCGGGCGCCGCGGACGCGGACACGGAGCGCGCAGCCGCCTGGGAACGCCAGCGACAGCGTCGGAAGCTCGGGGAGCGGCTGAGGTAAAGACTCTTTATAACCTCATGGTCCTTCCAACATGCACAAAATGCAAACAAGGAAGCGGAGCGGCTACCTAGACAGCAAATTACGACTTAAAATTGTTTATCACCGAGAATAATAAATGTTTTCTCGGAAAAATGTGTATACTTAATGTAATATTTTATTCGCCTTCTGTAGTCTGATGACAATTTTATTTAATAAAATTTCTGCATTCAGATGTCATTTGCCAATATTTCTACTCATTTTATTGTTTTCTATGGTCATCGTGTGTAAAAGTTTGAGTTTAATATTAGTATTACATTTTTCAGAACCGTCACTCACTGATGCCTTTGAGAAATTTAAATAATCCATAATTTGTTTTTAGTTTTAGACTTATATTATTTCGAAGTATATTAATCAACAATTGGTATCATATAATTTTCTGTCATATACGAGATATTTTCATTCATTCTGAGAAAGTGCAAGAAAGTAATGTCTAATTATTTTCTCGCACTACAAAGAAATGTATTCGTAACAGTCGTATCTAAGAAAATTAACTATACCCCGGACACCTGTCTGATAGATTGATTTCAACTCGCAATAATGCGTCTCAATACTCTGCGTAATATAGCATTATATTTATGCAGTTATGCAGCACCTATTAAATGCACTACGACCATATATTCGTGAGCAAATCTAGCGATCCACGCGGAGGAAAAAGAACACTACGCTCCCTTATCATTTGCAATGAGGTATCGTTCTGCTAAATCGGACCAAAAAGTTAATGGTCATATATTTTAATTTCCTTATGAATGTTACTAAAGCATTTATAGTAGAAGTTTTAAACAATTTTAAAGGAAGAAATCATTTAATTGTTTAACCAGCGCTTCATAAACGTGACTTCCCAAATAAATCAGTAGTTTTACTATGTATCCATCAGGGTGCTAGCTATCTGTG